GCAGTCTGTTTTCTCTCCACTGCGACACGGCACCCCTCGTCGTATTAGCTATTCTGTTGTCTTTTCCGAAAAACAATTATGTCGTTTGCAGCTGTGGGTAAGAAGCTTGAAATCAGATCAGTTTAGGGTCAGAAAATATAAGCCATATATTTTGAGGTTATTCTAAGAGTATGGTTTATTGAACCATTAATAATAAATGCAATATTTTTAGTAAAACTTATTTGGAATAAAATAGTTAATAAATATAATGAATTTGTAAAAAATAATTTTGACAGCTAGTTGTTCACGAGTCCAGTACGGAGCCGGATATCGAAGCTATATTTCTTGAGTCCAAACGTACAGTAATCGTGWTCAATCCAGTACGCTTTACATCTGACCCGGAAATAGCATCTATACTTCCAATGTTCTGACGTTGCTATTTTACCGTAAGTTTACTTCTTATTGCAAAGCGAAATTTTAGATTACAAAAATACAATGCTGTATCTTAAAATTACTTCTTATTGCAGAGTGAAAAGAAAAGGAAGGGCATTACTGAAAGAACTTGCATGCGCAAATGCCGCTTAAAATATGCCCACAATAAGTTCAATTGTACCGTAGCAACACAACCCAGTAGTAAAAACGTCACCGAGGCACTCAAGAATACAACCCAATTTTGCAACCTTGCAAATGTMGGCTGTTTAAACAACCTAGATGATTTCATTGAATATTATGTGAGCAAAAATYACTACAAGGAGGCTTTGTATAAAAGCGGCTTGAATTGTTCCTGCTATCACAACTGTCACTACATAAAATATAACGGAGCACTTTTCTTAGATCCTTGGGAGTAAAATATCGTTACAAATGTTGTTTATAAAATTGTAGCTATTTGCCTTAATTTGCAGTGRCGAACTACTGTATGTATATGCTAACTTGAGTGAGTTTCAAATATTTTATGAGCAAGCGACTTTCTTTTCCTACCGTTCCGTATTGGTCGCCACTTGGGTGGATTTGCTCGGTGAGTACCGGAATTACTAAGTGATTTGTTCAAAATTTTAAATTTCACTATTGTACCAAAATATTTATAGTTTCCTATGGCGGCATAGCGGGTCTATTTGTGGGTATTTCGGCTATRAGCTTAATTGAGTACTTGAAGCGTTCTTGCGGTCGTTGGAAGCGGAGAATTACTGGCGTATATAATTATTTCAAGCGCATCGCTCTTTCGTTATTATACTAAAATATAGGAATTCCGGTGACAACTAGTCTGGAATATGAAAGCTTTGTSTGAACCGGCAGAGTGTTGTAATTGTTTGGTAATCAAAGAGATTGGACGTTTATGGAAGGATTCAGGTCTTGAAAACAAATAAATGTGAAACTTGTATAATCGAGTAACTGCTTTATCATTTATGCACTAAAATTTAGCTTTGGAAAATAATTTCTCAATAGTTAAAAAAAAAAAAAATTGAAAATCACAAACAGTANAAGTGTTGCTGGTTTGTCGTCTCTTATGGTGTGTGTGTGCGACATGAAGAAAGCGTGCGTGCGTGTAGGAAGGTGCTGTTGTGTGCGAACATGTTCTAATAAAAGTAGAATTGAGTAACAATGTTTATATTTGGAAAGCTGTTGACCATCACTACAAACTAAAGATGTATTTAAAAATTAAAAATAAATAAAATTAAAAAAAAAATTTATGTACTTTCTTAAGACAATTTTGTAAATTTTTGAGAAATTTCCATATAACTTTAGACTAAAATCATTTACATATGYGACACCGATGAGTAGAAATGGTGAAGTTAAGTATTGAAAATAACTGTTAAAATGCTGCTATGTTAATTCAGTTTTGTAATGGTGCTCGCTTTTTCCTTGGAAAAGATACTACAGAACTATGGAATTTTTGGAAAAAGAGTAAATAACTATGTCTATGTATTTACACATTTTCCACTTCTCTCGAATGTTAGATAACATTCGGTGGAACCAGATAGAGATAATTGTAATATACATAATTAGTGGCGGCGGAACCCAATTCTAATCCCGTTAATGTTGGTCTTTCAGAAAAGATAAAAGCGTGAGAGTCGATTTATTATATATAAAGACATACATATGTATGTTATATTACTGTTGGCAACAAATAGTAAGACTTTTTAATTTTAATTTCGCGCGAAAACCAATTCGTCGATATATTCTTATATTTGCATTAACAATAAGAGATCTTACTGGTATCGCTGGAATATCGAAAGGATCAATAAAACCATTTTGAAAGATCATTTGAAAATAAAAGTGAAAACACGATTTACTCCAAAAATTACGCTTTCCGACTACCAGGATGTCATGGAACGTATTATTATTGACTCTGAGTCTTGGATCTATGCTTACGACCCGAAAAAGGCGAGCCGAAGCCGAAAAAAACACGTCAAGGGAGCTCAAAAATCAAGGTTAAGTTGACAGTTCTCTTCGATTATTGAGGGGACGTGCGCTCCTTCCGACCAGYCAAACTGTCAACAAAGAATTCTATTTCARATGCCGGAATTATTCGTGAATTTTTGGCAAAATTTTTCGGAAATTGACTGTAAGAACTGTTTCGTGAATTGAAAGAACGTTGTAAAAATGTCTGAAAATCTCATTATTTTGTTTTAAAGTAATCTTATTTGTAAAATGGAAAAAAACATGAAATTTGGTCCATAACAACAAAACTTGCACTTTTGTCATTCAAAGTATCCCAAAAGAACTGTGGCAAAAATTCCAAGCGCTCTTTACCAAATTATTTTTAACCGGTATTGCAACATKAGGCCRAGCATTGTGTTACTATGGATATGTCCTCCCGTGTCGAGTCACAAATTCTGGGTGTATTTCGRCAATCGCTCACTTCAATTTGAAGAGTTGCTGTCGGTAGTGTTCCCCATTAATGATTTTACCCGGTTTTAGTAGCTAATTATAAAAGACGCTCTTGTTATATCACCATAGCTCTGGATCCACAGCTGCTAAAAAACGTTTAGAAATTTCTGTTTGACACCATCAAAAACCATCGATTTTTTCAGATCTATTCTTTTTCACATGTTATGTTATGTTAATTTGTGTTTCTGGTTTTTGCTTTCAATAACATTTTTTACTTCCGCATTTTAGTATTTTGTAGGTCTTAATATTTTGTCAATTTCAAAAACTTCTAATTTCGTTTCGTCTACCACATTAAATAGAAGCGCTTTCTGACTACATTTAAGTCATTCAAAAGCAAGGCAAACGAATATTTTTATTATAAAGCCAAACAATTTAGTTTTGCTATCTATCCSTTGCAGTACTTATTATTGGTTTTAGTTGTTACTGTTGTTTTATTATTGCTGCAACTTACTCACAATAATGACCCTTATGCTTGAATAGTAGTAGTGGCTTGTGGTCAGCCGTTGCAAAATATTTTGATTGCGAACAATTTCCAAAGAAATAAGGAAGCACACACATACTAACATACATATGTTCAAATATATTTATGCAATCTGTGTACCCTTAATAGTGGTGGTATACAGGCATAAGTGATTTGCATGAGCTGCATGAAAGTATCTGCAATCAGTGCGGCCACTATGAGCGATGGTCAAGCATCGGTTCCTGCACAGAATCATAAAGTATATAAATACTACAAACTAGCAAATGTTTGTGTGAAAGTTTATGTATATATGAGGGTATATATTATATATGCATTCATGTATATRTGTATGTAAGTACATATAAGTACATTTATTTTATCATGTTTATCTGTTTATACAATATTTGCTTTACCACTGGCACTTGACTTGTTCTCGCAGTCAGTGATTCAGTAGCTTGAATAATGAATGTTGTTTGTGGATTACATTTACTTCTGCATAAATATTGCATTTTCTACGATTTTACAATTCACAAGGTTGCATTAAAATATTCAGATTTGATTTGAAAGTTTGTCTGCAATTCAAGCGAATAAATACTTGCACTAAATACCATATATGTTGCTATAGATGTATGTTTGTATATAATTATGTCTATATTAGGGTGAACAAAGAAAATTTGTTTAATTTTTTTCATTTTTTTCTTAAGAATTTTAACTTTTTTAATTGTTTATATAAAAAAAAGTCTGGTGAAGCTTGGTCACTTCAAATTAATATTAACAGGTGGCGCTTTGCGATTCTTAATTTCTAATATCAATAACACTGAAATATGTTTATACCCCGACCAAGGTATATTAAGTTTGTGTTGAAGTTTTTAATAGCCAGAATGGAACGTCGGAGACCCTATAAATTATAAAGGGGAAAAGGAAGGCTTCATGCTTAATTTTAAAAATCTTAATTTTAACAAATTTTATTACTCAAAATCTATGTCGTAATCCTGAACTTAACCTTGCTTTGGCATGTATGAATAGATCCAACTCATCACCATTAATAACACGTTTCATGACACCTGGTATTCAGAAAGCATTGTCCCAAACGTTAACGCGGCGTTGTTTTTCAAAAAAATTGAGTGATTTTGGAACGAATCGTGTTTTCATTTTTTTTAGGTCCAATTGATCTTTTAAAATGGTTTTGAAGTATTCTTTCGATATTCCAAAAGTGCCAGTAAGATCTCTGACTGTTAATCGTCGTTTCTAAAGCACCAATTCCTTAATTTGATTGACGAGTTGATCATTAGTTGTTATTGGTGGTCGTCCTGGACATGGACCGTGGCTGTCATAAAGATTTTTTCATTTGATTTTTTGGCCCACCCTAGTTTATAAATATATAAACATATCCCTCTATGCAAATAAAACTGACCCTGGCATCACATGAGCATTCACTTAACATGACACTTAGTGCWTTCTGTCTGATTCAATAAACATTAAGGATCTAAATTCTCATACAACGAGTGAAAAAGTTTTTGATAGAAATGCGAAAAGTTAATTCTAATTGAAATGTTAACTGTTTATTATACAATACAAGATTGGCAAAACCTGTACAATAACTTCTTACAATCTCAACTTAAATTATTAGTTTTGTCTCATAAAATTTCATATGATTTTTTAACCATATATTTCAATGTCTCATATTATAAATAAATCGTTTGCGTTTCTTCAACATCTTTTTATGCTTTAAACTCGCAAAATTTATKCTGCTGTTTAAAGAGAAATTGAATCCAGGGGAAATATAGCCGCGCTGACGCAGATATGTATAAAGGCCAATGGTGAAGTAGTAGAAGAGCTCAACGCCACTCATCAGCGAGGCGCCCAGAAAAAGGCCCATAATGCCRCCGAAGTTAGCTGGCGAAAGAAAAACAGCAAACACATACACAATGACAGGGATTTAGCCAGAGCGGAGCAGAGAAAAAGCTAAAACTGCACGTTTAATTCCGATTTGAATGGCAACAATATTGAAACGAAATTGAAAGTGTGAATAAATTGCGCAAAAAAGAAAGTTGCAGCAACCAATAAAAGTGGCAAATTGGAAGTGTCAGAGAACAAACAAAACTCGCAACGAAACAAAAAAGTGCTTAAAAYTGAGGAGAAAAGTGGAAAAGCGAAATCAGAAAATCATACAAAAAAGTGACAACGCAAAACCATGTCTAAGTCCAAGCGGTTAACGCGCAAAGTGAAAAAGTTATTGCACTTTTTGTTATGAAGTTTTTGTTACTTGGCTACTCGCACTCACCTAGCAACTCGACGAAAGTGTAACGGATTCGTGTGCTGTAGCTCATCATATAGTTGGAGGCGTAGTGCACATCCAGGTGTACCTTCTTTACCTCCTTTATGGCATTAATGCTGAGATTGGAGTGAAATGGAGTAGAAGAAGTGTTCGCAGTTAATAAAATGTAGATATAACGAAATTCTTAAATTATTTTAATATACATATAATTTTGGTTCGAAAAAATCTTAAAKACCTGCTTATTTAAGTCTTTTTAAAAATAATGTATGTATTACAATAGAAAACAGGAAAACACACAAGCAATTAGTGGTTAAGATAATACAATAGATTTAAAGGCAATTCGGTATAAATATTTGACAAAAAGCGTATCATGACCCACTTTTTGGCGAAATTTCTTTCTTCAGCAACTCTTCGGAACTATCTTTACATGGTTAGAATTTGGAAATAGTCGAAATGGAACTAAAACCACGCTCACTTCCCATATTAGTCTCCATCTAAATAATTCACTTTATTTTACATAACGGTATAAAATTTCATGTTGACTTTATGACATATATCTTGGACCTCTCACATTGAYCGATATATTTGTCATAAAGCCAAGTTTAGGTTCTATCTTTATAGGCAAGTTTACAACAACGCGCCTGTCGTTTTTTCTTTTTGTGGTTTGGCGGCAATCGGAAATTCCCAGTATAGTTAGGTCCTTCTTCACCTGGTCTTTCCAACGGAGTAGAGGGCTTCTTCCTCTGCATCTGACGACTCGTCTTGGATGACATGACCTAGTCAGCGTACTGTCTCTTAATTCCCTGAACTACATGTACGTTAATGTCGTCGTATGTCTCGTAGAGCTCATCGTTCCTCATTCTTTATTCGCCGTTATCAATACGGACAGACAATAAATCTTCCCCAGTACCTTTCTCCCGAGAGTTAGGTCAGGTTAGGTTTAATGTTCGATGTTAAAAAGGGGATCCCACTGAAACAGTTTATAATGCCAATTCAATGTGGTACCTAGAACTCCTATAAAAGTTCATTATTTGGACCCTCATAAATTGACAAAGTGCTTTTAGACGAGTTTTATGAAGCTGGTGTGGGAGTTATCTAAATAAAATATTTGGAAATTCTTTCTCAAAAATAAATAAAATCAGTTCACACCTTCTTCTAACCCTAATATATACTATAATATATATATATATATAATATATACTATATATATAATATTATACTCGTACATAATGGAAATGTAGTTTGGGTCAAATTTCCATTCATTGAAGCCAAAGAAGACTTTGTGGCTGAAACGGTGYGTCTCTTCCTTATCGCCTTTTGTCAATTTTGAACTCAACTAATAACATATTTTTATATTCACTAATAGAAACGATAATACGAAACACAAATCTCATAAGACCTTTAATTCGCAACTGTATATAAGTTTAACTCACTCTTCTAGCGGCATACTTATGTAATTGGTGACGTATATCATCTGTTGGCAGTTATTCAAACAGTTACAAATCATTGTGTGATTGGACACTTCCTCAACATACTGGCTTTCCGCCACGAGATTGTCGGTGTTGAAAACTTCTGCAAAGTACAAATCAATAGAGCAGTAACTTCTTAGAAAAAATGCGAATTRAGTGAAGTTAAACAAGTGCAAATCACAATGGTGCTTGCTCGAATTTATTATAGTGTGAGCGCATTAAAGTGCTGTTGTGTTGGTGTGCAGAAGTATGCATTTGTACTGAGTGGTGCTACACATTAACGCACTAAAGCCACCTCTGTATTCATAGAGACACTTGAAATCCTTTGCAGTACATGCCGTTATATTATCTATACGATGATTGGAATGAAAGAAAAATGGGAAAATGTGTGAAAAAATAGATAATTCTTCGAAGAACCTCATGTATCTGCAATTGAACAGTTGCACACTTTGCAATGCGCAGTTCATATACCCTGTAAGAAAATGTCTAAGGATAAAGTTCATGTGGTAAAATTTTTTATAATCAGTAACTCGCTTCTATATCCTTTGTCATGGGGGTGATTAAAGGTCTTAAAAAATGTATACGTCGTCACCTAAAGTAAAAAATAACGTAACTTCACTTTCCAAAAGTTTTTAGTCGAAGAAAAATCGATATAATAGAATCCACTCACATTGAAAGAAAATTTGAGTTTTGGTTAAAAATGGTTATATATTACAGCGGAAGTTGAAATTTTTATGCTACATATTTGTAACATAAGTTAGTGAATCGTTAACAAGAAAAACCGTTATTTTCGGCTGCACCGAACTTTGTGTTCAGTAATTCATGTAAAATTTCGTGAAGATGTATAGTCAAATGAGGAAGTTTCCCATGCAAGCATTTCATTCCGATCATTCAGTTTGTATGGCAGCTATATGTTATAGATAACCGATCTGAATAATTTCTTCGGAGATAACATTATTATCTTAGAAAATAATCTATACCAAATTTCGTGAATATATCTTGTCAAATGTGAAAGTTTTCCAAACAAGAACTTGATTCCGATCGTTCAGTTTATATGGCAGCTATATGTTATAGTGGTCCGATATCGGCAGTGCCGACAAATAAGCAGCCTCTTGAAGAGAAAATGACGTTTGCACAATTTCAAAGCGATATCTTAAAAACTGAGGGACTAGTTCGTCTAAATACAGACAGACGGACGGACATGGCTAAATCGACTCAGCTCGACATACTGATCATTTATATATACTTTATATTGTCTTCGGCGCTTCCTTCTRGAAAGTTCTAATGCAGGTTCTTACATCGGATTAAGCCTAAAAAATTTGGAAGGCTTATTTCAAAAACTCGACTATTGTGTAAAAATTTTATATTAACTTTTTTCTTCACAGATTATTTGAAGTGTAAAAATTGTTAGAGGGAATCTTCAAGAAAACTTTACTTTTTGGTGTAATTTATTTATGAGCCCATAAGTTCTTCAACTGGAGATGACCCTGAACTTTTGGGTATACCCAATATAAATTGTCCAGCGGCTAAGTACATAGTTTCAATATAATGACGTAATAAGCTCTAAAACGCATAGAATGAAGCGACCACTTTATCGGTATGAACTTTCTGTGACCGAGTTAGGATTCCTGAATGAAATCAACTTTTTGACCTTTTTTTTACTTTTAGGTTATATAGTCACCGAAACAGCAAGTACTCATGAGATATGAAAACGTACTTTGGACATGAATCGGCATCGTCAACGGCCATATCATTCATATATTAATGTTAACAGATAGAGCATAAATCTAGTACCAGAAATATCCAGTAAAAATATTACATTTTCCTACAGGGCATATAAGCACATGCATATGCATGTAGGTGTTTCGCATGCGTTAGAACTCACCACTTGCATCCTGTGGAAAGAACACTCGCAAATTGCATTTGCATAGCTTGAAAACATATTCCTGATGACAGCGTGTGAAACAGTTGCCACGTCGATATTCCAAACCTGGGATTTTCTTGTAAAGAGGATGATCATTTTCGTTCTAAARGAAGTTGCGCATATACGCATTTTTKAATACAAAATGACATAGAAATRTACGAAATTTCTGTAGTAAAGGTTTTATAAATTCTCTGCACTTACCTGGAAGAAGCAGCGCCGTTCYTCTGGTCCCACCGCACGAGTTCTTTCGTCAGTTAAGGTGAATTGTGGTATTACCGGTATTTTTGTGTATGTATTAGGCTTGATAAAGCGCGGATCACTRTGCCATTGTTCCGGCTGTTTTACCATAACCTATATGTATAAAAGAAAACACTTTTGAGAAAGATGAATCGTAGAGGGACGTGRACGTTACTAACTAATACAAAAAAATAATCAAAGCAGGTGGTTAAAGAAATAAGAGAATATTTAAATTGAAATTTTTGAAGACTTGAAAAAGTTAATAAGGTAATAATTCAAGAGGAATAAAAAAAGAAGAAAAAAATCTCTAACTCACATAGATTCCATTTGTGTAAGTAAAATTTGGCGGTTGCTTAGTCTCGTCAAGATTTATGACAACATCCAAACCAGATAACTCGTTGGTCTTTGCGTTGTGATACGGATAATAACGGTCGTTAAGCTAGAAAACAACAAAAAAGTGTGTAAAATTTCCTTTCAAACGATAGAAATATTCACCATTCGCTCGCGCCCMCGTGTTGTGACTACCGAATTGAAGACAAAACAAAATCCATATTCCGTACGTTCCATCGAAAATAGATCGCAGCAATTGTATGCATTGCGCCGCCAATGGCAAGGCTGCACGAACAGCTCATTGCATGTGAAGCCAACATAACGCATTACCTCCATTATGTCCAGATCGTCCAGCAGTGTCAGATTCAAATCAAGTCGATACAGCCGCCGCAAGTCGTTAAAATTGCCAAAGCTRAAATCGCCCATTATGGCGAAGAAGCGACGAAATGTCTGTACAGCTTCGTCGGTGGCATTTCGTGCGAGAAATACTTCATGTGCCTCCATAAGTTTCGGCCARTTGATGCGRTTGCGTGGACATATGCCAAYCGCCGGGAATGGCTTAGTGAAGATGGGCGAAACGGAGTCCTCGACAATCGTTTGAATGCGTTGCGAATAGTACAAATCGGCTAAATCATCGTAAACATACAGGCAGCCGCAGGTGGTGGCGATCAACAGCAGCARCCAGATGATGCTGTGATAATGTACAGTAAAAACATACAAACAACAACAAAAACATAAGGCTTTGTAATTCAAACTGTGCGCTTTGCTTGCACAACTCACCGTTCGAAGTAGTAAAGTTTTGGTTTGGTCAGATAGCGTACGCCATGCAAGGAGGAGATGTCGCAGTAGCCTAGATGTGTATAAGAGACTAGTAAAGTTTTGGTTTGGTCAGATAGCGTACGCCATGCAAGGAGGAGATGTCGCAGTAGCCTTTGCAATACGGCAACACCACTTGACATAATGTTGGCTTCTTTGTCGGAATTGTCTTAGGGCTCCTCGCTTTGTTGAAGAGGAGCAATTCCTGGCGTGGCCTCGRCATTGGATATGTGAGCTCATGCAGGTATGCGTTAGTCATGGCCACAAACCAATAAGCGAACTAAGCACGCAGAAAATGTTCGGAAATCTTTTGAGCACCTTAATGGGGCTTACGGTTTAAATAGCACAAAGCTGAAGGAAAGCCACAGCTTAATGAGCTGGACGAAGGGGGAAGGAGGCAGTATTGAACTAGTGCAAATAWGCTTTGGGGAAATATTTATCCAAAATCTGACTGAAGATATCGCTCTTGTTTGTTCGACTTCATGTGTCACTGCACACATCAAATACTTCATTGCTCCGCGAGGGCATTTTAATAGGTCCTCTTATAACTTCCTTTACCCACAAAGTTGCACAATTGATTTTAACTCAGGTGAAAATGCCACAAAGCTGATCAATAAAGTTAATAATGGAAATCAGTTAACAATGGGTATGAGGGCTGTTTGATAAGTACGAGTTGTGAGACTAAGATGAYTCGTCTAAGCGAAAATACGTGTGAGTATAAAATATATATCATTGTTTCAAAATATAAAACACTTATTTTAATTTTGTTAATTCATATTTTTATTTTAATTTACAGAAAACATTTGATTTAAAAAAGCTTTAAAGGTCTCACTGATTTTAAAATACTTATTTATCATGCAAAACATAATGAACTATTGTAGATTAGCACAAGTAATAAATTATGCGTTCCTTTCACATACATACAATAACCCTTGAAGTGTTTGTAGATGAAAACCACATTAAAACGTGAAGCGCTCTTTAGTGGTGCTTTACGATAGTATAGGAGTAAAGAAATTTCTGATGTAAAAACTCTGCTAATTGTGRGAAAAAAACTGAAATTACTCATATATTTTCAAACTCTCGTTTCAAAGAGCTGTTCTTTTTGAATTTCGCAAAAAACAAAAAATCTTAAAATCTATGGCGAAAGCTTACAGGCATTCTCTTTAGACTTTAGACTTRTTTTTAAATTAAAAACTCTAACACTTTCTCAGTACCGATAACTCAACAAGTATGAGTATCGAAGAAAGAATCCAAATACTCAATAGGCAATATAACATGGCTCCATACAGAACCAMAACATAATCATGGACTCTACTCATAATTGTAAATCTTCTAAAGAAGGATACTAAGAAAATTCTTTGGAAGAATAAAAAAGAATTACGAGTGGTGCATAAGGTGGAACCATGAACTAGGCCTACTTATAAAAGGCGAAAATCTTATATGCTGTATCATCAAGAGAGCGTAAAAGAAAATTGTATGGGACACAGTYTCCAGCACTAAAGCAAGGGAAAGACCGCGATAGAGGTGGATTGACGAACTCGAGGAAGTGACGAACAAGCTTGGCTTACGGAATTGGAAAGAAACCACAAATGACCGAGAAGTCTAGACACTATATCAGTAGCTCAGAAGAAGCTRTAGGGCCTAAGGGTAATATTTATCTGGACGAGTTTCGGGGAACCTATTCTTCATAATCTAAAATAAATCTAGTTCTATATTTCTCTAGTAGTCTAAAGTTTTCAGCAATTGGTTACACTATATAAGTAAGTTCCAAAAATTCAACAGATTTATAATAAGACCTATGACTCTCTTGTTTAAGGGGTTACATGGGTTTCTTCAGATAAAAAATAGTTTCAACACTTTTTTCAAATAATAAATTTTATTAACAAATTTTTAATGTTACACACATACACTATTAACATTGTTCTGAAATTTTTGGAAAAAAAAAATATTGTAAACTTGAAAAAAAGATGCGCCCATATTGACATGATATTGAATTGTATCTCAAAGACCTGAAAATCGGTGGAGTAGTTGTAGAGAAATCTASCGAACCGACTTTAAAAWCACAGTTTCGAAAAAAAAMTCGTTTAACGACGGCTAATTTGAATTAGTTAGCATCGAGCACACAAKTTTTCAGGGCTGTATCTCCGAAACTGTTACTCGGATCAATTTGAAAATTTGGGACAATAATCTAKAGGTGTTGTARAATTTAATACGATAATAAAATAAAATCAATTTTTTGAAACCCGYAAACCCATGAACCACTAAACTTTCCAGTATACATGATAGTATTTTTCTAAGGGAAGGATAGAAACTGATCTTTGTTCATGTCTTCAAATTCAATTAAGAATAATTTGAAAAACTTGATYTAAATTGTTTGTTCCAATAGTGAGCTTGGATTTATGAAAATTTTAATTAATATTTGTATAGCTTTAAAGTTAGAAATATATTACGAACAAGTAAGGAAGGGCTAAGTTCGGGTGTCGCCGAACATTTTAWACTCTCGCATGATAAAGTGATAATCGAGATATCAGGCGTGGTTGTGAACCGATTTCACCCATATTTGGTACATGTCATCACGGTGTTAAGAAAATAT